AATAAAAAAACACCTCCCCCCCCCCCCCCCCCCCCCAGGGTCATAAAAGACCTTTATTCAGACATGCAGCTCGGGTGACCAGGAAAGGGGGGCAGGAATTTTTTACACTACCCTCACCAAGCCACATGCCCTCAACATAGGGAGGGTTCCATGCGGAGGGGGGCTTTACCCTTGAAAGGCATCTTGTGCCCATGTTAATGGAGACAAGGGCCTCATCCCCACAGTCTATACCACAAAAAACATGTGGGGGTCTGTGGGGAAGGGATCATCATAATGACAGTATCCCGGACCGGCTGCTGTATGTCAAATGATCAATGACCTCACACAAGATCCCTGGTCGGCTTACAAACAAAAGTCAGTGGGGATCTGTCACTGAGTGGCTGTAGTGCTACCAGAGCTAAATGACAGTTGCCTGGCTGTTGTTTGTAAAAATAAAATTGTAACTTTTAAATGAGTACATTGCTATACTTGGCAACTTCACATGCTGGCTTAAAGCATCCCCAAAGCATGTTTTTTCTAAGATATCTGGATTTTAAATGCTGCCTTTTAAACTGTATTAAAAGATCTTTCCCCGCTGAACTTTTTTTTTTTTGCATTGATGCACCCGGTCCACCCTGTCAGTTCCTGGCTTCCCATGGCCTTTAAGCTGGATTGGTACATGTCCCCCATGGCAGTGCCCAGCTACCTATGCCTTTTAAGCTGCATTGGTACATGTCCTTCATGGCAATGCCCAGCTACCCGTGCCCTTTAAGCTCCACTGGTGCATGTTCCCCATGACATTGTCCAGCTACCCATGCCCTTTAGGCTGCATTGGTATATATTCCCCATGGCAGGGCAGTGCCCAGATACCTATGCCTTTTTTAAACAAAAGCTTACAAATTGGCCTTAAAAGGGCGCAAAATAAATAACAAAATGTGTCTCCCCTCCCAGTTTAATAGGGCTAATCCCTATGTTCAGGTTTAGCTGATTTTTTCAGAGTTTACCAAACCTGCAAACTGAACTTTGCCTGGTTCCCGGATCCCTAGTAACAACGGTGAATCATGCCTCTGCTATGAGCGTCCACCCATACATCCACCCATAGTCTTCAGTGGAAGGGCATGTGACACGATCACAACGCAGAAGAGCAATTGGGAGCGAGGGACTGGATCTTCCCGATGGCTGGAGATCCTCTCTTGAGGATGGAGAGGAGTGAGCAGAGAGGAGAACGTCCGTTCTCTGCTACATTCCGTGTAAACACTGAGATGGGAGATTCATCTCAGCTGGCACAGGAGTTCCAGCACAGTGCTGTGCTAGAACTCCTGTATTGGAGGTGACATGTTCTTTTTATTGAGCCTGTCCCCTCCAAATGCTATCACACAGGGGCTTGTTAGCTCCTGTGTTATAGCAATAAAGTTAAGTTGAAACAAATTGTAAAAAATTTTAATTGATTTTAAAAATAAACAAATTAAGAAAAAAAAAGTACAAAATAATAATTAAAATAAAAAGGCGATAAAGTAAAAAACAAAAAGATAAAAAAAATAAAAAAGTGATAAAGTAAAAAATAAATAGTAAAAAAATGTTTAAACTAATCCTGCCGCCCCTGCCGTTTGGTTGCCATTCTCCATTGGGGGGGGGGCAGTTGGCGGGGGGGGGGGCGCATTGAGGAACCTGGCCTTGGGGCAGCAGAGAGAGTAAATCCAGCCCTGGGTAAAATGCTTTCATTGATAGCTTACAGGAGTGTTTAGTGAACAATGAGGGTTTGCTTGAATGTCATGCTGGTGAGTGTGCTGACCACATATCTCATATTGAGTTGTGGTTTGACTACGCGAGGCAACTGTTTGTCCAAAGCTAAGATACATGACAGTAAGCTCTGACTTGTTCTTGCTTTTACAAAACATGGGTTGATGAGTTTGGTTTTCCTACTACTACTGTACAGTGAAGTGGTATCATTCATGTATATTTTCTCATTGTTTAAATACACTTTGTACTTCTGCTTTCCCTGCATAACAGTGATCCACAACATCATGTGCTCTCCTGACACAACCATTCATGCATCCCTGCTCAACTCACACCAAGTGCCAACTGGATTGTTTGAATTCCCTTACCTAGGCAAGCTTTCCTAGACCTACTAGTCACATAGGCATGTAAAGATCACCTGTTGCCTCTTTACATTACTGTCAAGTTTCCCTTCTGTCCGGGGACACTCTCTGGCTGTGTAACTGTTCCTGTAAAAGGTCTTGCTTTCAAAACAGATCGACAGTACCAATATAAGTAAGAATGCACTGATTGGCCATAACTATTTCACATTTCAGCCCAGTTTTAAAAACAAAAAAATAGTAAAAACAAAAATAGTTTTCATAATAATCAGTAGAAGCAAAACCAAAAAACCTAAAGTGGAACTCCATCCCAAGACCTAGTTCGTATAGGCTTCAGCTTGTATAAGAGCAGTGTGAACAGAAAGCTTTTAGACGTGGCCATTCGGAGAACACCTAGTATTTTTATCAATGAATACAAGACGTTCTTGGTTGGATAAAGGGTGGATTGTGATGTCACCACCCCTCTTCCATTCAGGGAACTCCTTGTATTCATTGATAAAAATACTAGGCATTCTCTGAATGCCTACTGTGCCAAGCAAGCAAGCTCTTATGTGTTTTCAGAGCAGAGGGTAAGACACTTAGCACCACCATACGGGGCCTATATAATATGCAGCCAGCAACGTAGTAGCTCTGATTACTACAGGGCTTTACAGGAACCACATTGGCTGAACAGGTATACCATATGCATACTTACATACTTACATTGGGCCATACTGGACCAATAACAAAATACCTGGAGTTCAGCTTTATACAAGATACTAATAGACTTCAGTAGGCTTCAGCACAACTTAAAGCTTGTTGAAAGCCTGTTGAAGCCTGCTAGATTCTATAAAGTGACAATCGGCACTCCCATGAAGATCTGTATTTAACATTCTCAAACTGGGACTAAAGAGTTCTTTAACCCCTTAATGACACAGCTTCCGAAAATATATTCGCTTCTGGAGACCGGAGCAATTTTGCCATTTGTGCTCTGTGTTTGTTTAACCATAATTTCCATCTTTCTCATTCATTTCACCTACGCATATTATATACTGTTTTTTAAAGGACAAAATGGGCTTTAATTTGATGTGACATATGCATATATAAATTCCTTTTTTTTTTTATATAAAAAAAAATGCAAATAAGAAAAAAACACATTTTCACAGCTTTGTCAATAATAATGTATACATAATTAGTGTAGCTAACAGAAAGTAATTCATAACAAATTATTTTATTTGTCCTGATTTATAGGGTGGAGCATATGTCTGGGATTTCAGTTTATTTGGGGAGTTGAAGGTCACAAAATACAAGGAATGAGAACTATATGTTTTTTATTACTTTTTTAATTTAACATTTTTTTTAAATTTTTGACTTTTTAAACTTTTTCCTTTTTTAAACATTTAAAAAAATGTTAAAACTTGATTTTCTTATTTTTACTTTTTTTGTTAAACTAGGGGACACTAAGGGATTATGTTTTTATTTACAGCAGCTTTAAAACTTAGTATCTCTGAGTAGAATACAGTATTCTCCTCAGAGATACTTTGTAACACACAGCCGGCTAGCAGTTTACAAAACACAGTGAGCTGCTGCTGGCTCTGTCACTGTCATGGCTCTGCCATCACAGCGATCACCTCTCGCTGTGATCACAGGATGGTGACCACCTAATCTGCTGTTGATAGTCTGCCTCGGACCCCAAGGGACTTATTAACAGCAGTAACTCAATGAGCGCTGGTCCCTTAACGCATTGCTCCCCAACCTTTTTATCGCCGCGGACCGGTCAACGTATATGTATATTATATATTTGTTTCTACTTATATTTATTACTATTATTATGTTTTATTTATACTCATTATTTTTTTTCTACCGATATTTATTTCGATCTTGCTATATTTGTTATACTTTTTGGACCTGTATGTCTTGTTATTACTGTTTGTTGATGGTTCTCTCTTCTCTGGTGGTTGAACAATGAATGAGTCTTCTCTGTATATAGTACAAGTGCTGGGTACACATGGGAAGTTTTTCTCTTCCCGTGGGCGGGACACTCGGGTGATGATAAAAGTGCTTCGCTCGGTCATTGACGGCTCATCGTGCCGAGTTCATCACCCATCATCTGCACTCTTCTCCTCCAGATAAGCTCGTCATCATGTCCTTCGGTGCCATCCACAACCCAGTAAGTGCGCTGTGTTCCCGCCCGGGTCCTCTCTGTGCTCTTATGAGGGGGCTCCCCCTCCCCTTGCCTCTTCTTTAATCGGGTTATGTACAAGTATATACATAGGAAATAACAGTCCAGAGGTGTCAGCGGTCACTCTACCTTCACACTTCATTTACATATACGTTCTTAATACTTCTGTTTGTCCTCTATGTCTGCTTTATTTTTCACTTTCTGTGTCATCTGCTTTTAGTTCGTTATGTCATGTGATGCTCTTCATACTAGAAGACTGTTTGCCGTTTGTGTTACTCCAGGGTTGTTGTCTCTGCTGTGTACAATGTAGCTCTGCTCCCAGAACAAGGCAGCCATATCTCATCACTCCAGCTGTGGTAAAACTACAAATCCCACTATATCTATGCCAATGAAAGTCATAGCTGTGGCTGCTAGAGTCTTGCAATGCCTTATGGGGCTTGTAGTTCCACAGCAGCAGCTGGAGTGCTGAAGTTTGCCAACCCTTTGTTATACAATAACTATGTCCCTGCACATGCCAAGGGTTTTCCCTGGAAATAGCCTCTCTCTGTGTGTTAGCCAGTTTCATCTGGATGATGGCTTTGATGGGTTAATGTTCTCTAGAACTTTTATAAGTGGAATGTTTATGGAAAAGCAGTATTTATCTACAACAGGGCTATGCAGCCTTGGCCCTCCAGCTGCTGTAGAACTACAAGTCCCATGAGGCATTGCATGACTCTGTCAGCTACAGGCATGACGTCCAGAGGCTGTGGCATGATGGGATTTTTAGTTTTACCACAGCTGAAGTGCTGAGGTTGCCTACCCTTGATCTACAGCATAAATGAACTCCGAGTTTACATATTCATTTGTACCTTGCAATAAAGAAATAGTTGAGGTAAATTGTGTACTACAACCAACTCAGGACATCATCGTACACAGTATCTTAGCCCCTATTTACACCTCAGCGCTTTGTTGTGTGTTTTCAGTGCTCAGAGCCCCTTCACGCTTCACCTCAGCGTTGTTTATTGTTTGTACAGACATCTTTCTGTGTTCTCACTCATTTATCAAAACTGAAGCAAACAGAATCTGGAGCAGTTGCCCATAGTAACTTATCAGCTTCGCTCTTCAGTCTGTTCAATTAAGATTTTAAAATGAAAGAGAGACGCTGATTGGTTGCCATGGACAACTTTTCCAGATTCTCTGTGCTCCGGTTTTGATAAATTCCCCTCACAGTTCGTTAATGTATCTGTTTCATGATAGCAACTGCTCCGGATTCTGTCTGCTCCAGTCTTGATAAATTCCCCTAATTCGTTTTGGTGTTGAACGTCTGAAGAAGCCTCAAATCAGTCAGATCACTAGGGCATGATCATGGCCTCAACATGAAGAATCCCATTATTTTCGATGGTGCCCATTCACACCTGAATATTGTACTGCCTGTCGCTTGTAGCTTAAAGCTGGATAAAATAAGACACTGTCTTATTTTCGGGGAAACATGGTAGTACTTGAGCTTCTTTTCAGGCTGAATGATGCGTTTTTAGTGCCCTCAATGGCAGCACCTGAAAACAGTTATCTCCTCCTCCTCGTAAGTAGCTTTCTAATGGCTAAAACAAAAACAGTTGAACCTGAAAACACATAAAAAATGCGCAAATGCTGGAAGAAAATGTTTTCAAAATCACCTGAAAAGGCTCAAGTGTGAATGAAGGCTTATAGAAGGAGATCTGGCATCCCAGGCTGTGAATGAATTACAAAAATTATCAAAAACTATTATCAGCAAAAAAAATCCTTTTATTTCCACTAAAAACCGACAGTACTCTTTATAAACAACTCAGGGACTCGTGCTAGGTACATTGTTTCATCAAATTAGAGTCTGACTAGTGAATACAGTGATTATTCATTGACTATGCCCTGAGGGCCCATTCACACTAGATACATTGGCATTCATTCTTCAATGGATTCCAATGCAAGGACATCTGAAAATGAGCGGATGTGAATGGGAGCAGCTCACACTAGTGTATTGCATAGTATTTGAGGTTGAATAAAGACATTAGTCCATCAAGTCCAACCTATTAGGATCTCATTCTAGGAGTACCCGTACCCCTGTATATTACGGTCCCTTAAGAAATCGTCCAAAAGTTTGATGTCCTCTGAGAAAAAAGTAGAACAAGCCCTAATTTTTTTCAGCCCAACGCAATGCAACACGTATTTAACGCGCTTCAATGCAATGGACATCAACGCAAGGCACAAACAATACTTTATATAGCTTAGTGTACAAATAAAAAAAACAATGCAGTGTATTGCAACGCTTGTTAATGTGGTATGCCTACACAAGGGAAAGATGGACACCGGCGCTCCAAAGAAAATCCAGTACGTCTATTTATTCACGTACTTGTTGCAAATGCAAAACACAAGATACAATGTTTAGGGTCTCACAGGATCCCCTTCATCAGGCAAACAAGTGATGAAGGGGGTCCTGTGAGACCCTGAAATGTTACGTTGTATCTTGTGTTTTGCATTTGCAACAAGTACTGGATTTGCTTTGGAGTGGGGTGTCCATCTTTTACTTATACTTTGCCGGAAGCCACCCTATGACCCCTGCTGCACCCACTTCTTATCTCATGGAGCAGCGGTTCTGAGTCCGATGGGTACACGGACTGTATCCATGCCTACACAAGGGGACACACTTGTCTGAGTCACATCCAACGCACACATTTCGGTGTGAATGCACCCTTAATCAATTAATTGGTTATGTAGTAATTCATAGTCCAGCTCATCTTCTCTTATCTACATACACATCCGTGTATGTGCATTGTCGTGCAGTGGGGTATGGTGTGAATGGGCTCCTATTGATCTTTTTGCTGACGACTTGTTTCTAGCAACAGGGTTGCATATCTGATCACAGCGTAATCTCTTAATTTACCTTAACCCCTTCATGACTGAGGTCTTTTTTTACTTTTTTCCACCCATGTTATATTCCACATTTTAGGCCTGAAAATTACTTAAAACCCCCAAACATTATATATTTTATGAAAGCCAAGACCCTATAGAATAAAATGGTGGCAGTTGCACATTTTTATGTTGCCCGATATTAGCGCAACTCCATATCAAACCCCCAAATTTAGTGAAAAATTGTACCTTAATGCCCCAAAACACAATAAAATACCAATTTTTCTAATAAAATATAAAAGATGAGGTTACAACGAGCAAATAGATACCCGACATGCCCAGGTTAACAATTGTGTGCGTCCGTGAAACGGCGACAAACTTCAGTACCCCAAAAAGTCCATAGGCGACGCTTTAAAAGCCCCCACAGGTCATCAATTTAAAGATACTCAAAAATACTGGCCGTAGAATTATTGCTCTCATTCCAGCATGAGCGGCGATACCCAACATGTGTAGCGCGTTCGTCGTTTTCATACGTTGGCTCTTTAAGGTGATGCTGGGGGTCCAAAAGACCCCCAGTGTCACCTTTACACTCCCAATAAGCTATTGAAGTGCAGATCGCTTCAGGAGCCCAGCACTGTCAGCTATGAGACCGGAAGTGATGCAAACTGCATCGTTCCCGGTCCCATAGAACGGGGAGGGGGATCGACAGTCGGCTTTACAAGTTTAAACAGAGTTTCTTTAAACAGCCCCGATGCTAGCGACGTACACTGTACGTCGTCAGTCGTGAAGGTGTTAACACCTAAAATGTATCTAAACCCAAGAACAAAAATGTAATATATTGCAGTTTATCTATCTTTAGATGTGGCGTCTGTATTCGTTTTTATTTATAAGGCTTTTTACCTTTCTGTTTACCTGGTGGTCCTGCCAGTAAGACACTTCCATGGTCACAGTGCTCCCTAACTGTACTGTATCTAGGAGGGCGCAGTAACGTCAAACTAGGCTGCTCTCCTGATTTGGACTACAAACAGCCCCCCCTCTCCTTATCGTCATTATATTGTGTGTGTTGGGGAGGTTGTGTAGTTTGCATAGGATAACGGAGAAAGCTAATAACAATTAGCTTTTGGGTCAAAGGAGTTTTTTTAAACTAATATACTCCTGTGACCCAAAGTCAGCAGATGGCCGGCTACCGACTGCTATATGCTGACGGCGCAGAGCTGTACTGCAGCTGGGAAAGTTCCCGACAATCCCGATCCACCATGGTGCCTAAATGACAGCTGGCTCTGCAATCTAGAGTCAGAGCCAGCTGTGCCTGTCCCTGATCTGTATGTCCCTCTGGAAGGGAGAATGCCTGCAGGGAGTGGTGACTGACAGTGGTAATAAAACAATCCACCCCGTCTTGGAGAATGTGTGGAGAAGTGGGCTCCCTCATTCACATACTATGGAACCACAAAAATGTCTGGGGTCTGTGGACCAAGATCTGTGACCTCATCTCAAGTAACCATAAAACCTTTGTTAGAACTGGCTATACTAGATTTAGGCATTAGTATGTAGTACCAAAGACACAGTTCTCAGATACTGGAACAAAGGTGCATGTCGGTATGAAAAAATGTCTGCCATAAGAAACAGTAGATGCAAAATGTTTACAAGAGATTACAATTACTGGTTTCAACATTGATGTCTTATAAGATGACCAGCACATTCCTGGGAATTATGACAGGTAGATCTCGCTGTCAGAACGAAGCAGCGCTAACATTTCCAGATGTTGTTTCCATGCAATACATGAACATTTTACGATGCTAGGATGATCCATTCAGGAGGCAGCTTGGAATAAATAGTTCTTTGGAAAAGAAAGAGTTAATTGTGTGTATTTTCATCTAAGAAGTTGTCCTAAGATGCAAATAAAATCTGTTCATGCTTAGAATACAACAGATTGTCTTACACAAATGTCACCCTTGTGTTTTAGGTTGTTCCATTCGACACTCCTTTTCGCAATGGCCTGCATGATGGGACTTTAGTGGTAATCAGTGGCTCTGTCCTTCCTTCGGGTGACAGGTATGTATGTAATGTTGGCTGATGGCAAACATGCTAAATAAATGCTTGGTATAGTGTGAGGAAGGAGTAGATGGCTTCCTGAATGATTGCACAAAAACACAGCCACTTACTAGCTGTGACTAGAAACCTTTATGAATTATTAATGAAAAAAATGATTTACAGGGGGAGCGCGTAAGGTCAAAGCTACAGTGCACTACGGAAGAATTTATGGACACACAACTACAAACGTACATTCCAACACAGCAAATATTATTTTCTAACCCTTAACACATTTCTGTTTTTTAAAAAGTAAATGTTTAGTACCTTATTCCAAATAATATATTGTGTGGTCACGTGACTGCACAGCCTCTGTTCTCTCCTATCTTCCCATAGCAGGGGTGTATATGTATCATAGGCAGGGGCAGTGTGTGACATCACACACTGCGGGGAAATATGTTACCTGTCTGTGTGCTCTGCAGTTTTGACAGGGAGGTTCCTTGCTGGGAGCCGCTGTCAATCCTAACATTATGGCTGGATGGGAAGGGTGTGAAGTACTTGACTATAGGTGATACATGCACAGTGTCCTGTATCCCCCAGCAGAAATTTAAAGGAAAACTATTGACTGATGTAAGGGCTCGCTGCCCGGCTTCCTGATTGGTCGGGAAGCTGGCCAATCAGAAAACCGGCCAGCGAGTCATTACCCGCCCCCGACTTCCTGATTGACCAGAGAGCCGGCTCCATGCTCCCTCATCACCTGGTGACGAGGGAGCATGGAGCTGGCCAGTCCAGAAGTTGGGCGGCGTGTAATGCTCACTGCCCAGCTGCCTGATTGGTTGGGAAGTTGGCCAATCAGGAAGCAAGGCAGCGAGTCATTACCCGCCCGCCCGGCTTCCTGATTGGCCAGAAAGCCGGCTCCTTGCTTCCTCGTCACCTGGTGGCAAGTCATTCACATCGCGCGGCTTCCTTAATAGGACTTTCGGTATCGGTGAGTACCGACAAAAACAATATCAGTAGTGGTACCCGATACTGAAAAAGCAGTATCGGGGCATCACTAATATATATAGCGAGAGAGACTGAATAGCTTCCATGCATCTGTGAAATATAAAATACTGTGTTCAGAAAGTGAACTTTCACCTAGATCTGAAGATCCCATAATAAAAAACATTTAATCTTCAAATTTTCCAGCATATGTTGTGAACCAAGCCAAATAATAATGTTTGCAAGTGGCAGTCACTATACTGAAAAGTATGACTGCTTATCAGATGTAGCAGAGGAACATTTCTGTAAAGTATGTGACTAAAGTCATATAAGTTTATTGCTTGTTCCTTTCCGGTGTTACAGAGCCTTTGAAGGCGTAAAAATGCTATTTCTGTAAAAAAAAGTAAACATTAAAAGTTGCATACTCTTTTTAGGTATACAGTAGTTTTGTTTGAACAACACCTTATTAAGTTAATAGAGATAATTGACTCTGTTATAGAGAAATTCTGCCTCAACCCCCTTGCCCTAGTTTGCTGATTCCCACACTCTCTTAGTCATGGTGACAGAGAGTCACAGGAGTGACAGCTCATACCACTTCCTTAAATGATAAGTTCACCTTTTGCAAAAATGAAAGAAATGCATAATAATATATATAAAAAATATGCATTTCTTTAACATTTGCATTCAAGTCTGGAAAGCATTGCAATTGTGATCACTCACTCATAGCTGCAAAGCTCGGGCTTCTGCACATTCTCTCCCAGGCAGAGCTCGTATGGAGGTACGGGGGAAGGACGGCTGGACTTCAAACTGCATTAAGGCCTTGTTCACACCAAATGCAGAGCAGATCTGGTCAGGTTTCTGCACACGCACACTAGTCTTTTAGACGCGTTTTTGACGCGGTTTTTGATGCGTTCCGGGCTCTTTTTGGTTAAAAAAATAAATTATTATTTTTTAAAGTTTAAAATGGGCTTCCAATGTGTTCCAGGCATTGGCATGCGTTTTTGATGCGTTCCAGAGCAGGTAAAATAGGGTCTGCTGCAGTTTTTTCACCTGCTCTGGATCTGCTCTGCAACTGCACGCTGCGATGTGAACTGGAGCAAAAAATACCATTGGAACACATTGGACGCAGTTTTGATCCGGTCTGCACCTGCTCTGCTCTGGATCTGCTCCGCGCTTGGTGTGAACAAGCCCTAAATCACTTCATACGGCGTCCAGCCATCCTCGCTCTAGGTAGAGCTGCCCATATTCCCACATCTACCTAGATAGAGGACGGCTGGACGCCGTATGAGGTGATTTAATGCAGTTTATTAAATGAACTTACTCTAAAATTACTCTACCCTATTACATCTGTTAATTCATGAAAAAGGAAGATAAACCCGGCTAATCTTTTCTTACAGCAAACTCTATGCATGTCATTTATTTTACATCAGGCTTCAGTTGTTATTCCTAAAAGAAGTAAATAAAAGCACAGCATTGAAGGAAAATGCTCAAAGCATTTTCAGTATTCTCTAATATTCCAAGTATAAGTGGAATCAGATAAATTGGGTGTTCCTTTACCATATCACAGGAACTCTCTCATTAAGACCTGTGCAGCTGATTTCAATGGTTGGTCCACCACAACTGATCATTACAAGGGCACCCTACTCTTGCTACTATATTTTACATGTATTTTATATTACCATGGATAGAGACTTCAATTCGCGGCCTTGTAGATAGGTACAGAGCAGTGACGTGCCTTCTGTGCTGGGTGAGGACTCCCCCAGCCTGCCAAAGCTCCACCGTATCCTGCCGAAGCACCGCCCCATCTAGCTGAAGCCCCACCCCCAGCTTGGTAACCAAGCTGTGTGGGGAGGAGGAGGAAGGAAGGAGACAGGGAGGAGCCTCCCTGTCCCTCACTTGCTCGTCACTGGTGAGGCATGGAGATCGATGTCCTCACTGTTTTTTGTTTCCTTTTTTTGATTGGACAGCTTGGACCAATGGCGCTTTGCCATTGGTCCAAGTCATCCACAGAGCACACGCCTCTAACACAGAGTAGAGGCCGTGACAGCTCTTGCCTCACCAAGTTAGGTTACACAAGCAGTGGGGAAGCCCGCTGCTGTGTAACCTAACTACCTGTCAAAAGCCGGATGCAGCGCCGCCCGTGATTAACAGGCAGCGTTCCATCCATGACAGGCTACACAGCGGGGAGGATTTCCCTGCTGTGTAACCTGATGGAAGCTGATCTGAATGGAGAAAAAGCTGTCAGCTTCAGACTTGAAGCTGACACCTTTTTTCTTCATAATACTAGGTGAGGCTCTGTCTCACCTGCCTCCCCTGACCGCACGTCCCTGGTACAGAGCTGGAATATTGTGCCACTGGAATCCAAGATGTAGACATGAATCCTGAATGTGTTCAGCCCCCATCTATTTTGTTTGGAGCTGACCTTTAAAAAGTACAGAATTACTGCTAAATATGTTTCCACATATATGCTGATTTCTTTTATGATTGCACAGGTTCGCTGTAAATTTCCAGTGTGGAAACAAAGACATTGCCTTCCATTTCAACCCTCGTTTTGACAGTGGCCTTGTTGTCTGTAATACCTATGAGCACAAGAATTGGGGAAAGGAAGAACATAAACGGGAGATGCCTTTTCACAGAGGAAAGCCCTTTGAAATCCGCATCATGGTTACACAACATGACTACAAAGTATGTATTCATTAATAAGAAGTAGGTGTTTGTTTAAAGGTGTTTTTTTTTCTTACTTACCTTCTTAGTTTAGGTACTGATATATGAATAATTATCTAAAGAATTTTACATTCGTAGAACCTAAAAAATAACAAATTAGAAAGATGCTGTTCTGTAAACTGTTGTAGTTACAGCCAGTGGTGTATTTAGGTTTTGTGCTGCCCTAGGCAAGACTAGACTCGGGCACCATACTACATAACAGAGTGCAGAGGTCGGTGAAAAGTGTAGACGGGCGCCATTATTCTGGTGGTCAGAGTGAAGAATGCTCCTTACATGGCTGGTCAGTGGAAAGTGAATTTTTTGCATACTGTATATCATCTGCTAACAAACGGTGTATATATAGATCAGCTAGCAAACAGAAGATGTATGCAAAAACATTTTTTTTTTAAATGACTAAAAGGTTAAAACTTACCTGTGTCTCCGCCGGGCGGTCCCGTTCGAAGATCTGAAGATTCTCGGGCGGCCGCAAGGGATGATGTGGTGGGCGCATGCGCAGTAGAGATCTTCAGCCAGGAGAAGAGAGACACAGTGTAAGTCAATGCACACGGAGAGACACCATGGGAGAAAGAAGACACAGCAATCATCGCTGGATCAGAGACCGTCACCTGGGCTGGAGGGACTGCTGAAAACTACTGGAGGGAAGAAGACTATCGGATCAAGAGGCATCATTTACGTCTCGTTCACACCTAGGCGTATTGCATATGCGCGTCTGTCGCGTGTTTTTTACTGCGATTCGCAGTAAAAAAAGTCGCGCGACCCCAAAGGCTACTTGGCTGTATCCAAATGGAAACGCGCAACGAAATGGCCCAAAGTAGTACATGTACCTTTTCAGGCGTGGGCCGTTTTGCAGCGCATTAGGGACGGGCGGAAATACGCCAAGGTGGGAACGAGACCATTGAATACAATGGGATTTATAGGGGGGGGGGGGGATTTTCGACTTTAAAGTAGAACTATGTCAGTGCTTTTCCCCATAGTTCTCACCTGGGTCATGGGAGGACACAAACTAGCGTCCTCGCGTGACCAAAAGCTCAGTATACAGCGAGTTGCAGCTCGCGGTATACTTAGATCGTCGCAGCCGGGATGGATCCCAACATCGACGTCGAGATCCACCCAGCTGCGTGACTGACAGCTGGCTCTGCCTATCTAGAGGCAGAGCCAGCTGTGCCCGCCCCTTCCCCCGCCTGTTCTGCCAGTCAGTGCTGGAGGATCGGACAGGGGAGAGTGACAGTCACGGCTCTCTGCAGGGAGATGATCGAGAAATGAGCGAGCGAGCAATTGAGCTGCAAGTTTGAAAATGACTTGCTAAACTATTGCAGACTTGCCAAGCTTCACAATTTTGTTGCACAATTACAGCAAGTCTGCATTGCAAGTCTCCAGATCAATGTGCTTTGCAAAAGTGCTGTACACTTGCAGAGCTCTTGCTATGACCAGAAGGACTCTTGCTGTAGACTTGTCAAGCAAATTTGCTACAGATTCAAAAAGTGTCAACTAGAACTTGTGCTGCGAGTGTTCTGCAAGTCTACAGCTTGCCAGGAATGTGTGCAGCAAGTTAACAAGAATTACAATATAACCCTGACACAAGTTTGTGGCAAGTTATCCTTGCTATCTGGGTATGGGGTCAGGGCTTTTCCCCATAGTTCTCCTAAGGGTCACGAGAGGACATATACTAACTCCCTCCCGCTACAGCTCGCGGTATACTGAGACCGCTGCAGCCGGGACGGATCCCGACATTACTGTCGAGATCCACCCAGCTGCGTGATTGACAGCTGGCTCTGCCTATCTAGAGGCAAAGCCAACTGTACCCGCCCCCTCCGTTCTGCCAGTCAGCGCTGGAGGATGGGAGCGGGGATGGGGGGGGGGGAATCCCTGCAGGGAGCCGTGAGTGACAGTCACGGCTCTCTGCAGGGAGATGATCGAGAAGTGAGCAAGCGACGGTATGTGTTCGCTCACTTCCCGATCTATTGAACCGACATTTGACAGTTTCATTGTCACACGTCCGCTCGAATTATGAGGATGAGTGACTTTCACTCACCTCATAGTTCTCCTTTAAGGTCACTTTAAGCTCCCCACACACATTACAATCTGACTGTAGTATCTCATCTAGATCTACCAACTTCCATGAATAGGAATGGCCTGGCAGATTACATACAAAATGATACAGTTTTGGCAAATCTGAAGTAGATTGAACAGAGATTGTATGACAGATTGTAAAGTGTATGGTGATCTTTACAGATAGCTGAGAACTTTATTGGTGTCAGTGGTAACATACGGTGAGAAGTAGAAATTGCCCATCTCTCCCCGAACCTCTGGACGATCCCTAGGCTTCTATGAAGCCGAAGGCTTGCTCACACCAATTGTTTTGCATTCCAGAGCGGGAGCTGCTGGAACACATCACAATCGCTTACAAGACTTCCCCCTTCGCTCTGGGGCGGGAAGGGGCGTGGCGATGCATTAAAGTCAATGGCACTGTAGCCCCGCCCCCTGCCCGTAGTGCGATCGGACACGTGGCAAAACATTTCCTGCGTTCCGTTCCACTGCAAATGCAAAAAATAGAGCATGCAGCATTTTTTGCATTTGCAGTGGAAAGGAACGCAGGAAGTGTTTTGCCACGTGTCCGAACGCACTGTGGCCGGGGGAGCGTGGCTCCGGTTACATTGACTTCAATGCATCGCCACGCCCCAGAACGCAGGGGGAAGTTTGTGAGCGATTGCAGTGCCTTCCAGCAGCTCCCGCTCTGGATCGCAATGCAATTGGTGTGAACAAGCCCTGAGACTGTCCACATACTGACCATCACTGTCTGCCTCCATTACCCTCTAAACAGGAAGAGGCCATGTCACATTTCCCATACAACAATACAACATTGCACACTGCTCTGCCTGTAACCACTCCATCTAATTCACACATGGAGCAAACTCAGTACTGTGCTCACCCCCCGTCGATCCACTTACCTCACAGGTGACACCTTTGTACTGCGCTCCCTCCAAGTTTCCCTGTGTGCAGAGCGGAGCAGCCATCTGTCACAGAGTCCTGCCGCATGATCGCTTCTGTGACCGGCTGCCTGCTCTTCACTGCTGGGCTCACCGCTCCCGTCTTCTCTGCCCGGCTCCCGCCCAACCCCCTTTGTCCTAAAAGTAACAATGAGGGTAATGTACTAAGACTGGAGCAGACAAAATCTGGAGCAGCTGTGAATGGCAACCATTAAGCTTCAGTCATTCTTTTTTAAAGCTTGACTGAACAAACTGAAGAGAACCTTGTTGCAGATAATATAGAGAGCTATAGAAGGGTACAGTTAGCCATAGACACAGGATGAGAGTGGCACAACGCATATGTTTTTGCCTACAGTGGATGATGACCTCTATGGCTGGACATCAGAGCCTCTGCCTGATTTAAAGAACCAGTCCTTGCTGATATTGTTCCCCAATGATAAATCAGCATATTTGTTTTCCCTGCCTCCCTGAATTGGTCTAAACATTTTTTTTAGGTAAAGGGCAGTTGTACCATGCCTACATGGCTAACTGCTATCTAAAGTCTATGGTTACCACTGGTTGTCCTCTGGAATAATATGGGAGCCACATTATGTCAGAGTTCACATCTAAGCTGTAGTGTGGTGTATTGTTGTTTCCAATAAGCCCATTGTCCATCAGGATGAATGGTAATACTAAACACAGATGTGTAAATGGGCCTCGTGTGTCTAGGACACACGAGGCCCATATTTTTTATTAGGCCCCTTCCACACTGTCCGTTCACAGTGGTACAGATCGAATGTCACCGCTGCGACCAGACACCATGTCAGTCTATGGGGAATCGGGTGTAAACGGACTTGTGTCCATTTACAGCAGATTACCCCCGATCCAGCACCATCAGGTCCGGCTAACAGAACTCTTCCGTTTGTCTTTCCAGAGCTGGCTGGAGCCAGGGGCAACTGGATATAAATGGACAACTGTCAGTTTACATCCGGCTGCCCATAGACTTGGGCATCCGATCTGGTCCACCTGAAAAACTGGCAAGCGGACCTGATCGGACTGCCTGTCTGAAAGAGACCCGAAGTACATTTTCTTTCTTGCCAAAGTTCTGCTCTACAGCATCTGCAGGTTTTTTTTTTAAGTTCTCCTTATATAAATTATAATACAGTAAATATTTAACTATACAAATAAATGTTTTTGTTGCGTCTATTAAATGTACAATTTCGTTCCAGGTTTCTGTGAACAGAAATCACTTTTTGGAGTATCATCACAGAATTTCCATCCATCAAGTCAAAAGTCTTGCAGTAAATGGCTGTGTCAGTTTATCTTTTGTTGATATCCAATCTCCAGGGGTAAGTGGCTGCACCCTTCTGCATTTCATCATACATATAATCACTAACGATATTATTTTTCTTACATCTTTTTCATGCACATTTATTTTCAGTTCATTACTTGATAATATTGTTATTTTTAGGGTGGATTTCCTCCGCAACAATTTCCAGGTGCAGAAATGTACAATGTAAGCATTTGATAATATTTAAATGTGCTTCAATTCCATTTCCACCTTTGTAAGCGATTTGCATTTATTGTCGTAATGAAGAGATGCAGTGATGATGTATACATGTGCACACTTTCACGACTCACATCCCACTGTCCCTATTGCTGTCATGGTCTGCTGCCAATTTTGCACCTTTTGTTGGCTGAACTAGTTTTTCCATTTTTCCATGTATTAATATTATTATTATACAGAATTTATATAGCGCCAACAATTTGCACATCGCTTTACAAAATGGGGGAGACAGTACAGTTACAGTACAATTTACAATACAATACAATTTCAGTACAATAGGGTTAGGAGGGCGCTGCTGGTGTGAGCTTAAAATCTAGTAGGAGGGGCACATGATACAAAAGGTAATAATTGTTTAGTTTGAGCTATTGGAAGAAGTAAACAGGCAGTTATGTTGAGATGAGATAGGCTTCCCTGAAGAGATGGGTTTTTAAGGATCGCCTAAAGGTGAGCAGCATAGGAGATAGGCGGACAGATTGGGGTAAGGAGTGCCAGAGGATGGGGGACACTCTGGAGAAGTCCTGGAGGTGACATTGGAGGAGGTATAATGCACATTACAGAGCTGAATCTTACCTTATTACAGCATTGCTTTGCAGTAACACACGTGTCAAGGTTCATTACATTAACGCATTACATACTGTGTGTTGCATTTAATTTAATGCAACACACAGTATGTGCATCGCAGTGTGCTGCAGCACATATATTACATTAGTGTTGGAGTGAGTTTGGAGTAAATGGCAACACAACTTGCTTTTGCGTGCCTTTTTTTGTGCTTCCATACATTAGTGCAACACATAGTTGTGAAACCGGCTTTTTGTATTAGAGTGTTTGGACCCATCTATATTGATGCTTAATTCTATAATTAAATATTTTTTGAAATCCTGCTAGGATTATAAAGATCTAACATACATAGATGTATAATTATTTGATACATTAACACTTTATGTTCTATTTTGATCAGTATGTAGTTCAATATAATCGTAATAATAATTTGTACCTCACTATCATCTTTATTTCAGCCAGCATTCCCTCCACAGCCAGGATTCCCCCCACAGCAGTTTCCTGGAAGCAATGTAAGATTATATTTATTGCAATATTACACAGTTGAAGATGGTTGAGGTTACAATATATGTTTGTTTTGCTTATTATAAGTAATATTCCTAGGATGGGTGTAGTTTTGGGGGGTTTATTCAGTAAAGCTATGTTCACATAGAATGCATTGCCTCTATTATCTAGCAGGTCCTCTACCTAAGTCTTTCTTGAAATCAATAGACAATCGATGTCCATTCCACCATGGATCTTTCAAGCAGCAAAGTACATTGTCAGAGCCAGCGGTTGAGAAGACTTGGTAACAGAAAATGTGTCTGAACAGGGCCCAATATTGTGCACACAGCATGAGTTTGTACATAGTGCACTATACTATATATTTTTTAATTCATTTATAGTACATTTTGTGTAGACATGAGGCTCAGTTTACAAAGCTAACACACCAACATAATTATTCTTATTTACTAAAAAAAAGTGACAGTTATTTTCAGTTGTGTCCAATGAAATTTTACAAAATGACAGCCACATGGCTGAAAATGGAATGCTTTAAGCTGGTTAAAAGCTTTGTGAGTTAAAGCTGACCATACACTATACAAAAATCATCAAGAACTAGCCAAAATTCGCACAGTGGGTTCCTCTGCCAGCACCCATTCAGCTGGCATCCCTCGATAAGCTGATAAAAGAATCCATTTGGATAATATTTGAACGAACATTGGCTGGCGGCTCTCTTCGGGTATTCTGACAGCAGCTAGTGGCCTCCATCAGAATTGAATGCAAACAGCAGGAGATTCCTTGATCTATGGTTGTACACATTGATGGAGGAATCTGTAATATTTTCTTTGTTCAGTCCACGGGTTGAACGAAGAAAATATTTCAGTGTATGGCCAGTTTAAGACTGAGGTGTTTAAATATATGAGCAAGGGACAAAAATCTGTCAGTGTATAATCTGTGTAATATGGCAACAGCATTCACATATAAATCTCCGTGGTTTGTTTTGTTTTTTTCAGCCATTTGCTGCTGCTCAATCTCAAACGACACACTATGTAAGTAGATTATATACTGTAAAGTAGATTGATATTCCTTTGTTCAAAACATTTGTTAAAATCACACCATTCATTGGGTAACTCTGTAGATTCAAAGTGTGTTGCTGACAGAAAATTCCAAAGGGCCATACCAAATATCACATCCCTGTGTTTTTCAAGCAAAGCAACACACTGAGACAGAAGCTTGTACAAACCCAAAAGACCAAACCCAGGTGAAGTAAACTGCTATATGCAGCCCAGTGTAGTGAGGAATGCAAAGATCTGTACATTGGATAGACCAAACAACTTTTCAGAAACGCATGGCCCCAACATTGGGAACCACACTATGCAGGTCCAGACTCAGCAGCCTTTATATACATTAAACCTACCCTGTCCCGAAACATGTTTTGCTAAAATGATTAGTACCTTAAATAAAGCCGAAAATGTTCTTATTTCCCGATGCCAGTGCCATTTAATACAGCTCCAGTTAGTAGTAGTCCCCCGAATTGATGATCTCCTTGGTTCCCCACTCTCACTGGTTCTTCCCTCTGACTTCAAGTCACTACTCTCTGCTGCAGTGAAGTGAGGTCAGAACAAGTGGATGCTGAGGGGACTCCGGAGACTAGTTCTAGGGATCAGAGAGGTGTTTGTTGGCACAGACAATGGGAATGGTAAGTATTTAATGCCTTCTTTAACAGATAACAGCTGTTTTAGCACAATGTTTTCATGATAGGGTCCCTTTAAGGAAAACGAATATTCTTGTAAGTAGGGATGTTCAGATGCCAAGTACCGTACTCGGTACAAGTACAGATACTTTTCCAGCTCCAAGACTAGACTAGAGAAAAATTCAAAAGTTAGGAGGCAGCTGTCATTTGTAAGGAGCACACGGAGCTCCTGGGATTTGTACATCCCCATTTTAATGTATGATTTTTCTAAATAAATATGTATATTAGGGATGCACATATACCATTTTTCCAAGTACAAGTACTGATACTTGTCCAAGTACTCACAGATACAAGTACTGATACATTTTTGTTTATTGTCATGTGACAGTTTTTCTAAAACAATACAGACTAATGATTTCAGGACAGTGGTGGAGTGCCAGAGCCAGGTCCCAGCTGCAACCGCTGCAACCCTGGTAGTTTTCGTGAAAATGCCAAGTATAGGCACTGATATCTGAACCGGTATCTGGACATCCCTACTTGTAAGGACAGTGAGGTGCACATTTTGGACAAAGTAGGCTACTGGTTCACAGGAAGCATTAAATGTTTCATATGTAAAACTGGAAGAACCATCCCTGCACATAGGTGGGGACTTTTAACAAAATCTGTCACCCACATAAAAGGCATTTTTTACACCGTTACCCTGGCAATTTGACAACAATCCACACCTTCACAGCCATGTAGTTTGAGCAGTTAATTCACGTCCCAGATTTCATGGCACCATGGTGCTTGGATTATGAAGTAGAACAGGACAGTTTCACAAACTTTCACATGTCCTACGATGTTCTTGGACAATCAGCATCTACTGTACTTTGACACATTACGTAGTGATTAATGTGACAGAGCTAACTGTTGGCTATACATGCTGGGGTATGGTCCTGACATTCATAGAACTAAAGAAACTACTGGGATGAGGGGCGAAACATCTTCAACATTGCAAAACAAGTCCGGTTAATTGTGACTACTAGCTATACCATGACCAAGATAAATGAGAACCTTCACAGACAAGGTTTCACTTCATCTCCAAAATTTCGCTTTCCTTTATGACTGATATTATACAATAACTCAGCTGCTATTATTTTAACTTCAAGCCCATGTGAACTTCATCTTTTTTTCTTACATCTAGACAATTCCATATAATACCAACATCCATGGTGGCCTATATCCTAACAAGGTGATTGTCATCAGAGGAGCGGTTACTGGACATCCTAAAAGGTAATAACTTATCTTTTGCAGGCTTGCAAGTGCCAGGAGCATTGTGCCTAGAGTGGCATCTAGTAAGTGACAGTTTGCTTCACTCCCCTTTCTCTTTACAGTTCTTCACATATTATTTCTAAACATCTTTCAGATTTCATGTCAACCTGAAATTCCATGGTGGAACTGCATTCCACTTCAATCCAAGATTTGACGAAAAAACCATCGTCCGTAACAGCAAGCAGAACAATACTTGGGGAAAGGAAGAGCGTCAAATGCCCAGCTGTGGAATGTGTTTTGCTCCTGGCCAAAGCTTTGTGGTAAGTACAATAATGGAAAGCGAGATAATAACCTACATCTATTGATGAATATGTACTGGAGAAAATTATGATGAGGCCAAACCTCATTTTTGCTTTGACTGGTTCTGTAAAGGTATACAGTGTAATTGAAGATATGAATTGCTTCCTATGTAACATAGTTATGGCCAGTACACGAAAGTACAGATTGATTTATATTGTTTACCAATACCTATGTAAAATATGGCAGGGATTATTAGAACTAAAGACACATTTCAATCTAATGAAAAGGCAGAAGGTCCTAAGATCACTACTGTATTTTACCTACATTCCTGAATAATAAGAGAGCAGCTAATATGCAACCCCATTTTAAAGTGCCTGTATCCACTTTATTTATTACGTCATGCCAAAAAACAGTACAGCTTATCAAGAAGAAAAAAAACAAAACAAAGGATATAGGGATTCCAAGACAGAATGTCATCTCACCCCGATACAGTATATTGCAAGTAGATATATTAATGGGGCTTTCTGAGATGGCAAAATACCACAATCAAAACTTCCATAGTTGTAAAAAAGTTTATTTTTATTAAATTAATATTTTTTTAGAATCTTTAGTTCTACCATAAAATCAATGAAAACCCAAATGACATAATGTTTGTTTGACAATCATAACCGACCATTCATTTGCTAGAGGTAATTACGTTTCAGATAAATTACATATAGATTTGTCACCCATAAGGATACAGTGGTTAGTTGCTTCTCTTGTGTAAGATTTTCAATAAGGCGATTAACGTTGATAATTCATTTAGCACTCCAACCTTCAATGTGTTTCACATTACAGCTTCTTCAGGGAGGTAAGAAAATCTATCATGTTAAAGAATCCATGTAATCCATTATCAACACCGTATTAGCATGTTCCACATAAATGTTTTAACAAATATATTTGTGGTTAATAGTTGCTTACTTGCTAGCATGATACAGTAGTTATGATGTAATGGTCACACAAAAGAATGTTTTGATTGTCATAGAGAATAAATGTCAGCCATACCGTAACATTGAAATACAAGTGGAGAGCCATGCAGGTGAAACACATCGAAGGTTGGAGTGCTAAATGAATTATAATCTTTAATCACCACTAGAGAAGCAACTAACCACTGTATGTCTATGGGTGACAAATCTATATGTAATTTATGTGAAATGTAATTAAGTCTAGGAAATTAATGGTCGGTTATGATTGTCAAACAAACACTATGTAATTTGATTTTTTGGCAGGACTAAAGATTTTATAATATTAATTTAATAAAAATAAAAAAAAATTACAACTATGGATGTTTTCATTGTGGTATTTTGCCATCTCAGAAAGCCCCATTAATATCTCTACTTGCAATATTATGAAGGAAGAAAACATAAAGGAGCCTTCTTTTCTGTCTTTGTGTCATGGCTAGTTAGAGAAACCATACCCTGGTGTTTACGCACAGATGGCTGTCAGTTTGCAACATGGGTACACTATGCAAAGAAACTATAGGATGTAGATCTTATATGATTATAACAGTGTTTTATGGGTTATGGGTTTGTGGAAAGCTCGCCATACACTTAACAGTTTGAGTGTATTAGGAAAGCCTTCACATTCCATGGTTTTGCAAAATCGAAAGGAAATAGTAGAGATTGTACAACCAGTTCATAATGTGTATGGCCAGCTTAAGATGCACATTTTTAGTGGAAGTTGTTTGTGATAAAATGCGTAAAATAAAAGTATTGCTGTGAATATTATATAACTATATATACCTATAGTTGCGTTCCTAATTTGTAATGTACAGCAAAGTTGCACACTAGTTTATGGAGCACTATGACTCAGGGCTTTGCTTTATATGGGTCTAATTCTGCCTGTACATCCAACCACACTAATAAAATCTATGGCCACCTTTAGCATCACTTCAGATATTAGAAAGTGTGATAAGATATGACATAAGTAAAGATGAGCTTGGGTTTGGTTCTAACCCAGTTTGCCCAAGCCCCCCCAAAACTGACTGACACCCCCCCTTCCTGACACAATTAGTGGTGGCAATTGCATTTCTCCCCCCACAGCTACATATCACAAAGGGATGGGAAAGCCCCAGCTACAGCTGCTGCCACTGATTGGGACAGGAGGGGGAGAGGGAGTGTTGGTCATCATTAAAGGTGCCCATGCACCTTACGATTATCGGCCAATTTTCGTATGCGATCGCGTTTTCCTCCGATATTCGTAAGGTTGATGGGCAGTGTACAACCGGAAATACTGTACAATCGATCGACTTTTGACTTTCTAGCAGGTTAGAAAACCTCAGTCGATCGTACAATTTTCGCAAGTTTGGTGGTGTTTCTGTACGTCAAAAGTCGTACGATTAACACTGCTCATGCGCAAACGAAAATACGAGTGATCAATTACCACAAGTCGTCCAGGTGTTTTCTTTTAACTACCGCTGATTGAACCTTGCGATAATAGGGGCAGGATGGGCCTGCCATACAACACTCGTACAACGGTTCGATCATCGGACGAAAAGTTTCGTACGATAATCGTAAGGTGTATGGGCACCTTTAGAGTGGGCTTGGGTGCTCTGGAATGCGCTAGAGTGCACCTGTACACCCATTCAGGCTAAAAAAAGACAAAACACGGAAACGCGTCAAAAATGCACCGCACCAGACCTGGTCTGGACATGATTTGAACAAGCCCTTACACTATTTATTATGTATGTTTACTCTTTTAATGTATGCTGACTTTCTAAAATTTTAGCCTTCAGCCACAGTTTACTTACATTTAATTCTCTTTCTACAGATTGAAATGATTTGTGAACACCATGCTTTCAAAGTGAACGTTAATGGGATCCATGTGTGCAACTTTAACTATCGTGTTCCACATCTTCAACAGATAGACACTCTGCAGATAGATGGCGATGTTGTCCTGCATCATGTTCAGATTTAGATACCTCAACAGTTTTTAACATATCTATAAAAATGCTATACACAATACAGATAGCAAAAGAGATAGCAAAGAAGCCAGACAAGTTATATGCACTATATATGTCAGTTGGTTTATTATATTTTAATGAAAATAACATTTATCAAAACATTTCTAAAAGCTCTTTACACATACATTTGATTGTATTCTTCTTTTTCTTGATTACATCATTTTCCGTATTACACAAAAGACTAGCAGATGTTTACCTATTAATGAAATAAACTCTAAAATATATACATTTATTTGACAACTTGACTTCTTTCTTTAACACGTATACCAGCAGAAATGTTTCAGAGTGATGTGTGCCAGCTCACACAAGAACAATAAATACACTGTTTTATACAATCATTGAGATGGAAGAACCCCTGGGCTCAGGGTGATCAAGACACACACTGAGAAACACTGATGTACAGTGGTTTTTTTTTCTGCTGCTATCTCTGTCATCCATTTTCAGAATATGTCAGAAAAAAACAAATGATTACAAGAAATGATTTGATATATAGGTGGGCTTATGGTAAGGACCATACTCATAGGACCAAAACATCATGGGGGGAATTTATCAAAACTGGAGCAGACAAATTCTGGAGCAGATTTGCACTGCAACCAATCAGGTTCTTTGTCTCATTTTCATATCTTACCTGAGCAAACTGAAGAGAGATGCTGATTGGTTGCCATTGGCAACTGCTTCACATTCTGTCTGCTCCAGTTTTGCTAAGTTCCCCCCATGTATAATACTTGTGTTGTAATAGACATGTTTTAATTTTTTTAAACACAAGTATGTAACCAGAAAAATGCTGTAATAATGTTGAAGACTATAAAAGTCCCGGAGTTTGACCTGGATTCATATATGTTAGTAATCATACATTGGAGGACTTACAGTAAATTATAACACTTACCCCATAGTTCTCTTTTAATAGGAAGGTCCATGTGAAGAGTATCTTACAGAGGAAAAGAACAGAAAGGCTTTAAAGTTTATGCATAGCCAAACTTTTTATAGTTTTAGATGGAGTAGAGAAGGGTTAAAACCCCACTACTTCAGCCACTTTATTCTTTCTGTCTGCATCCTGATGGGGAGATTTCCCTAAACTTCCTGTCTTGGAAACATAACAGGAAAGGAGGGAATCTCTACAAAGGAGAAGACTTCCCTTCCTAGTCTGTTGTCACCAAAACAAGTATACAAACAGGAAGATTAACCCTCACCTGGCCGTTGTTCCAGTGCAGCCCCAACGCAAGACAAGGCAATTTGCCTTGTCACAGATGGTACCTATTCACTGCACTGCGGTAGGAATGCAGTAAGGCATGCCAACTTTTAAGTAAGACACGGTACTACCAACTTGCTCCCCACTGTGCCCGTAGAACTAAATGAAATGTCACTTGTGGCATCTCAATAAAGTTCTAACAAAAAAAGTACAGAGATCAGCGTTTTAGCACTGTGCCAGGGCATCACACGCTAGACCCTGTGCGATTAGCACAGCATTTGGTGTGAATGGGCCCTTAAAGTAAATGTCCAAGCCAAAAACATTTTTTTCTAGCTTTGCATACAGAGGGGAAAGATTAGAACCCTTGTTGGGTTTTTACTGCTGTCTAGGACTCCACAGTTGAGATTTTTACTAACTTCCTATCCTGCTAACGATGGTTTTACAGGACAGGAAGTGAGCTAAAACTACAGAAGGGATACATGGGACAGAAATAACAGTCTGGCGGGGGTTCCAGTATTTACCTACTGTATTTAAAAATATATATATAATTTGTATTTCTGTCTGTGTTTCTAATAGAGAGTTCCCTTCACATTCTGTCTGCTAAATAAGACAATAAGCAAGGGTATATCTCTCTAATAGAGCTCCAGATAGCAGTAAAAATCTGACTCAATCCCAACCCGAAGAAAAAAGTGTTTGGCTATAAATACACTTTAAGTCTTAAGTAAAAATGTTGTAACATGTGCTCCACAATGAAGAGCATCAGTAAATTAAATCATATTATTACTAGAGCAGCATAGTTACCCAACCTAGGGCCCTCTATATGACCCATATGAGTCAGAAACAATACTGTGCAGTCTTTCATTTGGTCACATGTTGTTAATTCTATTTACTGTTGAAGGACAAGAAGGATGCATACCAGTAGACTACTAAGTGTAGACACAAGGATCCTATTTATTATGCCTATATGAAAGGTTCTTAGTGCGTAAAGTCCATTTCCACCTTTGTGGAGGTACTGTATTTAAAAAAAATATATACATGTATCAGGCATATGCAGTTATATACATGTATCGGGCATATGCATATTAACACAGAAACTTATTTTTTCTGTCCTCTTCATCTCCTCCTTCATCTGATTTTGAAATGGGCGCCTCTGTGCTTTGCAAGCAATCTGTGTATATTACCACTCTCTCTCTGAGCTCTCTCCCCCCATTCATTACTATTCATAGTGTCAGCCCCCCCTGGACAGTGTATTGTGACCTGGAAAGGCAGAAGTGGTGTGCATTGTCAGCTGCCTCAAAATGCGACCCCATTGTCAGACTGAGTTTCCTGTGGAGAAAAATTTTCATTTTGTAGGAATCAGGCCCACTGAAAAGTCCATAAAAAATAGGGAAGAACCGGTACTGGTTTTTTGGTATCAAGTACGAGTAGGCTAGTTGGGACACCAGGTGACAAGGAAGCATGGAGCCGGCTTCATGGGCAATCGGGAAGCCGGGGGGGCGGGTAATGACTTGACACCCAGCTTCCTGAATGGCCAGCTTCCAGACCAATCGGGAAGCCGGGCAACGAGTCATTACACGCTGCCCGGCTTCCTGATTGGCCAGGAAGCCAGCTCCATGCTCCCTGGTGATGAGGGAGCATGGATCCCGCTTCCCATCCAATCAGAAAGCCACGCGGCGTGTAATGTCTCGCCACTCGGATTCCTGATACCGGAAGTTCCGGTATCGGGATCAGTATCGGGAGCATTTGGGCGAGTACTCGTACTCGCCCAAATACTCTGTATCGGCACCAATACTAGTATCGGTATCGGTGCATCCCTAATAAAAAAATGAAGATAGCCAACAATGTGAGTCATGAAAATGTACACACATATATATCATCCATGCACCTCTTCATTACCACAATAAATTCTAATCGCTTACAAAGGTGGAAATGGGTTAAACCTTAAAATGCATTCAAGTACCCTAACTATTAACAAAAATGTACCTTATTTGTGTATCACTCAGCTGTAGACCCTCAAATCATCTCTGAATTGGTGCTGACACTGTCCTTCCTTCTGGAGGGTGGCTACTTTTGTTCCCCATGGTCCCTGTGTGTGTTGTAAGGTAGCCACCGCTCCAAGCTCGCTCCTGTGATGGACTTCAATCTCAATACAAATTAGTAAACTAAACATGAGATTGTAGTCCATCACGGGATTGAGTTTGTAGCGATGGCTACTTTATAACACACAGTAATGATTTGAGGATCTACAGCTGAGTGATCCATAAATACGATACCTTTTTGTTAATAGTTAAGGTACCTGAATGCATTTTTAAGATTGGACTCCTGAGTATAGTGTCATTTTAGCTCTGGGCACAAACATTTTAATTTAAACATACTCCCAATAACCATAAATGATATAAATCCACTTTGTGTGCAACAAATGCCTTTGCATACCCAATTAGTACCTTGTAAAAGTATCAGTGACATTATTACTGTGCTGCACATTTACAGAGAGGGATCTAGAAGGGCCACCACTACAGGCTGCCTGTAGAAATCTACAAGGGGGTAAATACAAGACCAGTCACCCAGCACAAGAAGAGAGAGCAGCAGTGGCTTGTTTTTATTACAGGAAGCTCCTGCACAGAGCCAAAGTCTCACACTGGATTACTGCCCAGATCTGGAAGAAATACACACAGCAAACAAAGATTCAAATACACATGGCTCTTGTATTTGGATAGTATTTGCTTATCCAGGAGATAAGCTTTACGTTTATAAAAGATTGTAGTGTATCTGGCTTTACAAGCTCTTGAATGTTATCCAAGATAACATAATAGTACCTAGACCAGGGGTAGTGAATTCAAAATCAAGGCGATCCGGTAAATAATATTTCAATCGAGCCAAGGTCCGAATCGCGGTCCAGACAGAATAGTCCACTGTCACGATAGTGGGTAATACAAATGATCTGGGTGGCTGCACAGGTGCCAGTGTATCCACTAACACTGGCAGTGTATCAGCTAGTCATAACCCAACACAGGTCGACAATCGTGGATAGAACCACCACTCGGTTCGTGTTCAGACCACAGTCCACTATTTAGTGACCCCTGACCTAGACCATGGTCTGCTAAACATGCTGCAGGACCCTAGAGACTGCACACCCAAAAACCCTTATTGGGACGCTGAGGCAACATAGGGAGGCTGATTTACCAAACTAGTTGAGAATCTTCATTGCGCAAATTGTTTGAATAATCACTTCATTTATCCGATAATGTGAAAAGCAATTTCCTGTTCACTGTGCATATCCAATCATGTGCAGATAAAATAAGTAAACAGGTTAAATTTACTTTTTACATAATTGTATAATTGAAGAGAATATTCACATCATTTATTAGGTGAAGATTCTCATTAACCTTAGGATACCAGCTTATTTGTTATTGATCATATGATTCAAATGTTAACGTTTAACCACTTGCTGACAGGGGTGTTTATACCCCCTTCCTGGCCAGGCCATTTTTCAGTATTCAGCGCTGCAGTACTTTGACTGACATTTATTCCGTCATGCAACGCTGTGCTGAAATTAATTTTATGCCCTCTTTTGGGGACAGATAGAGCTTTCTTTTGGTGGTATTTAATCACCACTACATCTTTTTTTTTTACTATACAAAGAAAAAAGTACCGAAAATTTGGAAAAAAAACCTGTTCTCCCTACGTTATGTTATATAACATTTATTATTACCCAATTTTTTGGTAAAATATAAAAGACGGGGTCACGTCGGGTAAATAGACACCAAA